ATGCAGTGTATGTGTGTGTTAGTGTATGCAGTGTGTGTGTGTTAGTGAATGCAGTGTATGTGTGTGTTAGTGTATGCAGTGTATGTGTGTGTTAGTGTATGCAGTGTATATGTGTGTTATTGTATGCAGTGTGTGTGTTGTGTTAGTGTATGCAGTGCATGTGTGTGTTATTGTATGCAGTGTGTGTTGTGTAAATGTGTGATCTGGGGTGAGGGGGAGGAAGGGGTATTTTAACATTAATTTTTTATTAATTTAATTAAATGTTTCTCCCCCCTCCCTGCTTACCTGTATCCAGGGAGGGGGGAGATTCCATCCGTGGTGGTCCGGTGGGGGGCCCCCCGGGTCCCTGTTACCGCAGAGGGGGCCCAGGCAGCACACAGCTTCTCCTCTCTTCTCATAACTCTCGCGAGACCCGGTTACCATGGCAACGCTCCGCGGGTTTCGCGAGAGTTATGAGAAAAGAGAAGACAGGAGGAGAAGCTGTGTGCTGCCTGGCTGGGCCCCCTCTGCGGTAACAGGGAGCCGGGGGCCCGCGGCTGCACACATAGATAGCGATATGCGCTATCTATGTGTGCAGAAAGGGAAAGTGGGGCCCAGGACTGCCAGAACAGTCCGGGCCCCCCAGGGCCGCCGGGCCCGTGACAACAGTCACAGTTGTCAACCCCTGATGGCGGCCCTGGGTCACCGTATCCACTGTTAGCGTAACACACCCGCTTTAAGGACACTGACTGCTATTCAATCTATAACAGTGAAAAAAGTGTTTTTTTTTTAAATCCAAGCTATTGTGACACCAGATCTAAGTGGTGGCACTGGTCACCGTATCCACTGTTAAGCCAGCACCTGCTTGAAGATAACTAACTGCTATTCAATCTATAACAGTGAAAAAAAGTTTTTAAATCCAAGCTATTGTGACACCAGATATAAGTGGTGGCACTGGTCACCGTATCCACTGTTAGCGTAACACACCTGCTTGAAGGTAACTAACTGCTATTCAATCTATAACAGTGAAAAAAGTTTTTTTTTTTTAAATCCAAGCTATTGTGACACCAGATATAAGTGGTGGCACTGGTCACCGTATCCACTGTTAGCGTAACACACCTGCTTGAAGATAACTAACTGCTATTCAATCTATAACAGTGAAAAAAGTGTTTTTTTTTTAAATCCAAGCTTTGTGTCACCAGATCTAAGTGGTGGCACTGGTCACCGTATCCACTGTTAGCGTAACACACCTGCTTGAAGATAACCAACTGCTATTCAATCTATAACAGTGAAAAAAGTGTTTTTTTTTTAAATCCAAGCTATTGTGACACCAGATCTAATTGGTGGCACTGGTCACCGTATCCACTGTTAGCGTAACACACCCGCTTTAAGGACCCTGACTGCTATTCAATCTATAACAGTGAAAAAAGTGTTTTTTTTTTTAAATCCAAGCTATTGTGACACCAGATCTAATTGGTGGCACTGGTCACCGTATCCACTGTTAGCGTAACACACCCGCTTTAAGGACACTGACTGCTATTCAATCTATAACAGTGAAAAAAGTGGTTTTTTTTTAAATCCAAGCTATTGTGACACCAGATCTAAGTGTGGCACTGGTCACCGTATCCACTGTTTGCGTAACACACCCGCTTTAAGGACACTGACTGCTATTCAATCTATAACAGTGAAAAAAGTTTTTTGTTTTTAAATCCAAGCTATTGTGACACCAGATGTAAGTGGTGGCATTGACTGGGGAAATGGGCACAGTATGCACTGTGAGCCTGACACAGAAGCTGGCAGCAGTGGCAGACTACTGACTGCTATTCATTCTATAACAGTGAAAAAAGTTTTTTGTTTTTAAATCCAAGCTATTGTGACACCAGATGTAAGTGGTGGCACTGATTGGGGAAATGGGCACAGTATGCACTGTGAGCCTGACACAAAAGCTGGCAGCAGTGGCAGACAACTGACTGCTATTCAATCTATAACAGTGAAAAAAGTTTTTTGTTTTTAAATCCAAGCTATTGTGACACCAGATGTAATTGGTGGCACTGACTGGGGAAATGGGCACAGTATGCACTGTGAGCCTGACACAGAAGCTGGCAGCAGTGGCAGACAACTGACTGCTATTCAATCTATAACAGTGAAAAAAGTTGTTTTTTTTTAAATCCAAGCTTTTGTGACACCAGATGTAAGTGGTGGCACTGATTGGGGAAATGGGCACAGTATGCACTGTGAGCCTGACACAAAAGCTGGCAGCAGTGGCAGACAACTGACTGCTATTCAATCTATAAATGTGAAAAAAGTTTTTTGTTTTAAATCCAAGCTATTGTGACACCAGATATAAGTGGTGGCACTGACTGGGGAAATGGGCACAGTATGCACTGTGAGCCTTACACAGAAGCTGGCAGCAGTGGCAGACAACTAAGTGCAATTACATTACATAGAAAAAAAAATAAAAAAAAGCATACCCTAACCCTAACCTAGCTATGCTTTTCCCTATCTAATGAACAGCAGCTACACTTTCCCTCCTCTTACTAAAGCATGCAGCTTGAGAATGAATCTAAAATGGATGCCTTCCAGGAGGTGGGAGGGTCTGCTAGGGAGGGTGTGCTGCTAATTGGCTGGAATGTGTCTGCTGACTGTGAGGTACAGGGTCAAAGTTTACTCAATGATGACGAATAGGGGGCGGGTCGAACCGCGCATATGTTCGCCCGCCGCGGAGAACGCGAACATGCTATGTTCGCCGGGAACCGTTCGCCGGCGAACCGTTTGGTACATCACTAGTGGTGGGTAGGAGTGCAGTCTCTACCTGAAGGAGGTTTTATTTTTTCTTTGAGCATTGTCATCATAGATAGCAACAAATAATACAAGTGTGTATACCTTTTTAAAGAAACACTTACATTTAGTTAGGCTGCATATTTTACCATGATACAAACTGTGAAAAAAAAAATTCTTGTGTTAATTCCCCTTTAACACAATTTTAATCTTGACAATAATGTATTTTATTAATTCTCACAGTATTTTTTTTTTTCTGGCAGGTAATGAGTTAAATAGTGGTGAATTGATATATTCCTCTCTATTGTAACTTACTTCTGTCATTTTTCATGAAAAGTGAAGAGGTGGAAATTTGTTTTTAGATGTAAAAATGCCATTCTGAGTCATCAATGAAAAAAGTACTAATTTTCTTGTCATTTTTTGACATCTGCTCACATTACTTGTTCAGACAAGATTTAAAAATGTAAAAAATATAAAAGTTAAGATAGTTGCAACACGTGTAATACTTTAAACAAATTAGCAATAAAATGATAGTTACCTAACAATTCCATATATAGCAGTGGTCTTTCCTTACAATCTTGTGTGTTTATGTATAAACATCTCTTGACCTAACTACAAATTATATTTGTGTTTAAATGATATGTATTGCTGTTCTATGATTTCTATTCTGCCTTTACTCTGGTCTCTGTCATGCTTAACATGAATGGCTATAGCGATCACAGGTGATCATACATAATTTGGTGTTTAAAGCCTGAAGCTTATTTTGCCAGTCAAGGTAAAAGGATTTTTGTTCTGTAGGAGACTAAAAGGTTTACCAAGGCTAGGCATATATGTCTTCCAAAAGAGCTTTAAATCTTCCACTTAGCTCATTGATAATATTTTTACTGAATAACAGATTTAACGATTTTGCTCACATTCCTAATCCTTTAGAGAAAGTGCCCTAACAGCAGCATAGATTTTAAATGCCAAGCTTTGAACCTAAAGAACCATCTAAAGTTTTAAATACTTGATAGAGATATCATGCTTGAAGTGACATCTTTACAAGTCTGTAAATGTCAGTGCAGTTATGTAGTCTGTGAACATAGAACAGTATGTGGTTTTTCAGTACAGGTGTGATACTTGCTTAAATTTTACTCCACTCTTCAGCTCTTGAAAGATGGGTATAAAGTAGGTGGTATAACAGAACTAGCATGACATTTTACAGATTCATGTTTAACCTGTAATTTCACTATATGTTACCTTCCTGGGAAATTAAAAGATGTTAATAGGAATCATGAAGAATGTACAAGGGAATTGGATATTTTAGGCTACAGTAGCCAACTCACCTAAGTCACTGTTTGGTGACAAATCTCTTATTTTTTAAAGTTGTCCCTTCAAACTCATAAATGTATTTTTTTCTATTGAATAATTGTCAGTATATAAAAACAAGACTGACATTTAGTCTTTGCTTAGTGTACTAAAGCAAACATTTTAAAGGGAAACTATAGTGCCAGGAAAGCAAAGTTGTGTTCCTGGTACTATAGCTCCCTTTAGTGCACCCCTTCCTCCCCCCATGGTACAGAAGGAGTTAAAAAAAACCTTCTGTCACTTACCTAATTCCAGCACCGATGTCCCTTGGCACTGGCGCAGGCTCCTCCTTTGCTCCTCCTCAGCCAACGACTGCCGGCAGCGGGGACATAATGGACATGTGCAGTGATGGCCATACTCGCATTAGGACTTCCCACCATAACAAAGCATTATGCAATGCTTTCAAACAGGGTTTCTGGTGTCACTAGATGTTCTCATGCATAGCGTGAGGACGTCCAATGTAAGTTAGGTGACCAAAAGTCATCTAATAACGTGGAAGTCCCTCTAGTGGCTGTCTGGTAGGTAATTATTGTGCACTAAATTTTTCATGACATTTGCCAACACAAAAAAAAATACTTTTTAATAGGCTCCTTTACAGATAGGTTTGCTAATTCAAAATCTGATGTGTACTGTTTGCACAAATAATTTTTTCTTTGTCAGTCGAGAACCTCACAGGTTTTATCATATTACAAAACATTTTCACAGCTGTTAAAATGTATCTTTTATCTCTCTATATATATATATATATATGTATGTGAACATCCCTACTAATTATTGAGTTCAAGTGTTTCATCCATTGCTGACAGGTGGATAAGATCCAGCACATACCAAGGAATCTCCATAGACAAACAGTGGCAGTACAATGGGTTATAGTTATTTATTTATTAGTGGTATTTATAAAGCGCCAACAGATTCCGCAGCGCTGTACAATTGGATATAGTGTACTATGAGACTGCTGAAGTACTGGCAAGTTAAAATCATCTGTTGAATCACTCACTACAGTTTTCTAAACTGCATCTGGATGCAATATCAGCACAAGAACCGTACATTGGGTGCTTCATAAAATGGGCTTCCATAGCCAAGCAGCTGTACTCAAGCCTCACATTAACACATGCAATGCCATGCATTGGCTGGGGTGGAGTAAAGTAAAGTATATCAACACTAGAGTCTATTTTTCCTGTGTGAGACAGCCACTAAAGGCACTTCCTGCTTGCTAGGCAACTTTCGGTCACCTAAATGACGTTGGACATCCTCACGCTCTATATCCAGCATCAGCAAAATCCCCACAGGAAAGCATTGCAGCAATGCTTTCCTGTGGGGAGGGCCTAATCCGCTGCTTATGCACATTAGCCCTCCTTCCCTTAGTCAGGTGATGTCTAAGAAGGTGGAGCGCCGACCCAATGCTCAGGGAGATCGGCACTGGAATCAGGTGAGTATAACCCTTACTTTGCAGTGGTGGAACGGGGGGAGAGGGGAGGTTCTCATAATAGCTGTAAGAAAGACAAATTACAATCAATAAAAGAGTCAGGTGATGGTTGTATGGGTATATGAATATAGTACAATTCGTGCTATAGTGTTAGGAATACAACTTTGTATTCCTAGCACTATAGTATCCCTTGAAGTGTTTAATCACATTTCACTACAAGAATCTGGATATATTTGATGCACGTAGAAGCGATCTACCGCTGCATGTGGTAAAATTTAGTGGATGAGGGATAATGCCTGTGCTGTTTTATGGGTCTGGGTTAGCCCACTTAGTTCCAGTTAAGGATCATGTTAAAGCTACAAGATACAAGCACAGCTGTGTACTTCCAACTTTGTGGCAACAGTTTGGGGAAGGCCTTTTACTTTCCAAGTATGATTGTGCCTCTGTGCACAAAGCAAAGTCCATAAGGACATGGTTTGACTGTTTTGGTGTGAAGGAACTTGTGTGGCCTGTGCAGAGCCCTGATCTCAACCATGTTGAAGTCATTAAACACCTCTGCCTTACATTTTATGTAGATTTATTTTGCTTCAAAATACAGAGATATACATTCTTGTATCAAAAGATGTTCATTATTTAATTGATGTTTTACAGTGGATGTTGTTGCTAGACTCAGGAAGGGACAGAATCCTAAGACAAAGAAGCAGACAAGAACTTAGTGCCTGGTTCCAATTCCGGTGCTGCTTTTACAATTTATTCCTAAACGTCTAAATTGATTAATTTGCTAATCTCATTGTTGGTAAAGGAGCGATGATAGATTGTCAGTTTCCCCCTTGATGATCATAGGGCTGGTCTGGCATATATAATATTGTTGCTATATTGAAGACTTTATGCTAGGAAATTTATTATGCATGAGCTGTATATTTGCACTTCTCTCCAATACTAGAGTTACACTAGTAAATCTGCTGGATCTTTTA